GCAAAGCAAGGTGAGGGAATTCAACAAACCCCAAAGTAGCCATGTAGGCTGCAAGTGGAAGTCTTGGTCCTGCAGGAAGTGGCAGGCTCCAGAGCCTCAACGTCGATCTTAAAAGGCCTCATGGCCCAAAAAACACAATCAAGCTCCTAATTTGATCGCTCCGGCAGTCTCTGACCTCTACGTCTGGTGCGGTGGAAGACAGACAGACGGTAGTACACCGGCACCTCATGCAAGGAGTTGGCTCTGGAGGAAGCTTCTGCATCCGTGATTTCGGATCTGAGGCAGCTGGCCCGGAGAGCTTTGTTCGACTTTTGGTTTCGGACTTCTTTTGTTGTTGCAGATTTCGAAATAAGGTGTGAAGCTCAGGCTTTTGTGCTTGCGTGTCGCTGAGCTTGCGGACTGGGAGGTCCCCAAATCGCATATCTGTGGATGTACGGGCTCGACATCTTCCGAGCCACATAGAGCCTAAAGTCTCTGAGCCCGAAAGCGACAATCCAAGTGCAGAAGACCCTCAGAGGCGCAGACCTCTTGGAGTGGCTGGTATCAACTTGTCTATACTCACACGGAGGGGGACGATTCCCGCGGCGTTCGCAAACAGCACGGCAGCACTGCTGATCATCCGTCTGTTGAATTGTGAAATCTGAACCATCCCCAGATCTTGAACGCTTGCAGCCGTAACCTTCCTGCATGCTTTTCCTCGATCCCAAGTCCTAGAAACCCCTCTGCAGTCTTGAACCCATCAATCCTCATTGAAGCCTGATCCATCTTAGAACCCAAAACAAGTCCCCTAAACCCCAAACCCTACAAAGCCTGATGCAAGGTCCGAGGACGGAGACGAGACCTCCCTACAGGCTCGTCTCCGCACAGCGGAGGCCTCCCGCGCCCAGGCGGGGGCACGTAGAACACACAAAAAACATACACCTAAACCCAGAAAGTCTAAGATACCCTCAAGGTGCTACACCCTGAACCCGTCAAACTCTGAATCTCAGCCGAAAGGGCCTCCCAAGCACTTGAAGTTCCTTGCCAGGAGGCCCGCAATCGCGAGTTGACCGAGGCAAGGGCCTCAACCACAGCCACTGAGAGGGTTTGGCAGGTTAGCAGGCTTGGGTCAGATGTCTTGGGCTTCGGGTTGGATGGTTTGAGGCTTGCGTTAGGACTTTCGGGGTTGAGGAATTTAGATGGGGGTTCAGCATCTTGGATGTCGCAGTTCAGCGGCCATGCCCGGGGCATACCAGTCCGTTCAAGAAGTGGGGTCGCATTGGATTTGTCGAGTTTGCGGGGTTTGAGTTCCTTGGTTTTATCATGGCGGACAGTCAAATTGGCTGAGTTCACCGGCTTTTGTCCGGGCTGCTGGCTTCAGCCTCATGGTGGGGCACTAAAGCGGCCATAGGGGAACGGCTGTTTGTGCCGCTGGCGGAGGAAGCTCCCAGTAGTTTGCCGCCGGTGCATGTGTGCGTGTGGATGGTGCTGTAAAATGCTCTTTCTCTGCGTTTGCATCCCCAGAGTACTCTTGCGAGGGATCGAAGGAGGAAGAACTTGAACTTCGGGTCCGAGAAGCGACCTGTCTTGCCCAGCGACCAAATCCAACCCCAAACTGGCACGGGGTACTCCCTCTTCGGGGTTTGGCGCGGATTGCAGGGCTCCGTCAGGGGCTGAGATGGCGGCAGGGAACATGCTGTGCGGCCGAGAGCACCCGTGGTATCCACCACCAGCACCACCATCCACCAGCACCAGTTTTGCAATGTTAATCTCTAGGGTTCAGCAACTTGGGATGTCATGAATCTTTCGGGCTTCGGTGGCTGTTTGGTGTTGGGACCCTGGTTTGGGATCGGGGTTGACGCAAGATGTGCTCGCAGACAACATCTTTTAGCACCCGACTCCAAAATTGTTTCATAGAAACCACCGTATCGCGTTCTGGTACGGGGTCAATTAGAAGCAAGAGGTCAGTTCTTTACCGGCTCCGGTTTTCGACCAAGGACTTCGAAGAAAAATGCGCCAACTGCAGACAACGAGCCTTAAACCTTAACGCTTCCCTTTAAACTTCAACTTCGAAAACCAGAAAGGCAAAACCCGAAACCCAGCTCCCACATCCTAAACGGCAACCTCGAAACTAAGCTCCCAAATCCAAAATGGGAGTTTCAAAAGACAAAGGATTTTGGTACAGAGTCCCCAACAACAATTGTAGCAGAACAAGGCCCTAAACAAAGTATTTCCTTCCAAGCTCTCAAATTGCTCTCAGGTGCGCTGTGCGCTCGTCCAGCGCCGCTGCTGCAGCACAGTGGCACGGCTGGAAGCTGTCCCTCGGCCCGGACTTCAGGGTTAAGGGACTTTAGTTGAGGTGCAGGGTCGGGACTGAGATCTTTACTTCCGGTTGATGGGGGCTTCATAAGTTCTCGTAACCACGCGACTTAACTTTTTCCATCTGCACAGTTCACAGCTCTCAAGCCTTGACTACTCGCTAGAACCCGAGATTGCTGAGGGTCTAGAAGCAGCCCGTTGCATACAAGTGTACAATGTATTTTTCAATACCCCCATTGCATTTTTATAAGCATAAACAGGATCTGATTTCCATTTCCTCCCTTCCGCGAGCTTTCATACTAATGCCATGTGTCAGAACAGCCTCCAACGACGGTCCGCCAAACATCCCCACCGGCGACCCCCGATTTATAACGACGCCCACTGCCGAGATTGGGAGGGGTGTTTTGGAGCTTCCCCATTTTGGTCGTTTTGGGGGGGGGCACATTCCCCTCCCTTCCCCCGACACCCTTCATACCCTTTACACCTCCCCCCTCATAAATCCACATTGCGAGCGGGTGTCTGCGCAGGCTATCATGCTCCCACCTGCAAACCAAACACGCGTAAACTGCCCGGACACCCCTAGGCCCTACACCACTATACACCCCATCACACACACAAACACATAGACCCCTAAACTCACCCAAAACCCTGTAGCCTCTTAGCTCCTACACCCCGACACCTTCCCTATGCACCCCCTATAATCCTGTACCTGCTTAACCACCAATGCGTTGCGCGGAAACGGGCAACGAGCGCATTCAACACGCATCCAGCTGTTGTCTTGGGTGGAGAGAGGGGCAAGGAGCGTATTCAACTAGCATCCTTCTGTTTAGGGATGAGGAAGGCCAAGGAGCATATTCCACCAGCATATGTACATCCCCTATACACACCCTATCCCTACATCCTCACACTCGCAACGCCCAGGCCCCCCCTGCACGCCGATGCACCCCCCGACCCTAAACCCTAAGTAACTGCTATACCGTACACCCCTCTACACTCCATGCCCCCTATACCTTTTTCCCCATACTATCTCAACCCTTTTTCCGTGCCGACTACTTTAACATACTCCCCTCCACTGCAAACCAAGCAAGCATAAACTCCCCGGACACCTCTTGCCTTACATAAACCCCAGCTATCACGGACACCACCCCAAAGCCCACCCCTCAGACCGCCACACGCCCCACCCCACAGCACAAGCCATATAGCCTCTGAGCGAAGAAGCGCAGCCTACAGCTGCAACAGACCCGAAGTGACGAAACTCAGAGACATCATGACTTACAGAGTTATCTGGTGCTTCTTTTGGACAGGGCTGTTTCTACGACAGGCTTGAAGGTTTTTGCTTGCAATGCTCGGTGACTCTAGTATCCCAAGCAGCCTCAAAAAATAGCAATTTAAGCTGCTTAGAGTCTTAGAGTTTTCAGTTCACATCTCTCGCGCTACATGTTCGAAGCCTTCTCCTGCCGGGATCAGCCGTACGTCCTTCGTCAACCAAAGCTAGATATAAATCCTTCACCCCAAGGCCTGAGTCACGCATCCTTGATCGAATCCATTGCTTCCAACCTAGTCAGCGCAATGGGGATTATCTCGGGATCGGTATCTTAGCTCGAGCTGTAGCCCTCAAGCCCTAAGACCTTGTGAACTAAAGCGTTGAGCCACTGGCTCCATGCCGTTTTTGGTGGGTAGTTCATCTTGTCACGGATCGCTTGATTCTGATCGCCACTATTGAAAGGCTTGCACACGTAGCAGAGACACCCAACTCCGAATCTAGGCCTAACAACAGGCCCTACTGCTGTGATTCAGAAGGTGGAGGGTGCAACAGACTGTGCAACAGCTAACGACAAAGCCACACAGCGTCATGCATCGCAAGCTCACACCACCGAGCGACATTATGCACGCAGCTTCCTGTCAGCACAGGACATTTCTGCAGAACTCATGACAGCGGCAGCAGTAGCCAGTATCTGTGGTACGAAGAAATCGTCGTCGGAGCTCCTACTGATAAGCGTAGCGTAGTACTTACAGAGTGTCGTCGCTACCGCAGCGACAGTAGAAGGAATCAACGACGTGGTAGTGGTGATAGCCAGCCCCGGATGTCATTGCCAGAAATGGTCAGCCAAGAAAGGAAGCAAGTAGCAAGAAGGAAGATGGCAGAAAGCAAAATTAAGTGAGCACGAACACTCACATTCTTCATCGTGTTTGAGTCAGCAGCGCTCCTTCTTAACCCTAATATACCCCCCAACACCATGGAGCTTGGGCTCACAAACACCGGAGAGTTGAATTCTAAACTCCTCGTAAGATCCCCACACACAGGAGCTGCGTGAGGTCCGTGCGCAGTCGGTGAGTACGCCTTGCCACCTGCCAACAAACTTTAGCAGGGCGGCAGAGTTGCGGCTAGGATTCATGGTTCGAGGTGGTTGAGAGCACAGGCTCGAAGTTTCGGGGTGTAACAGAAAAGGGGAGGCACACGCTGTGTTGTTCGGTTGTATGCACTTTCTTGAATCTTGCCTGCATATCTACATATCGTAATAATATATATATATATATGT